GTTTGGTAATTTCCCAAATATTGGGAAGCTAATTATCCCAAATTCAAATCTCAGTTTCCAATTAAAATGGTTTTCTTGGATGCTGTTTAGACCGAGACTCAGAAGTTTACTGGATTCTGTTAGAGAACTAAACTGTCCCTTCCAAGATATACAGAATCCCACCCACTCCATCAGCTCCCAGAAAAATCTCCTGCTTTAAACTTTCATTGGCCATTTCTTTTTTTTTTTTATTTTTATTTATTTATGATAGTCACACACACAGAGAGAGAGGCAGAGACATAGGCAGAGGGAGAAGCAGGCTCCATGTACTGGGAGCCCGACGTGGGATTCGATCCCAGGTCTCCAGGATCATGCCCTGGGCCAAAGGCAGGCGCCAAACAGCTGCGCCACCCAGGGATCCGTCATTGGCCATTTCTAAATCTCTCACTATTCTAGAGTTTCCCTATGCTTGCTGACTCACAATTTCTTTAAGGTAGCCTATCTTCTCCTGTCATTCACATGTCAGCTCACCACATCCTCTCTCCTTTCTCTACTCACTCATGAGTATAGGCTCATGAATTTGGGGACCAGGCAAAAAAAGCCTTACTTTTGTTGGTAATATGATTCAAACTATTATATAAGGTAGTTATGCACAAAGAGGTGAAGAGTCACTTAGACATATTAAAAAAGTTAATAATACTTATCCCTGAATGGTGATATCATGACAATTTTTAATTTCTTCTTTTTATGCTTCTTTGTAGTTACTATTTTCACGAGTTAACATGTATTAATTTTGTAATTAAGCAAAAAAACAACAACAAACTATCTTGAAAATAAATTGAATCATAGGTTTTGGAGTTTTTTTGGGGGGGGGTATGATCTAATTCAGGAGTCTAGGGGGCGATGGAGTGTGACACAGGCTGCCACCAAAATACAAGTGTGACACAGGCTACCACCAAAATATGCTAATTCAATAAGAGTATGGTGATGGTTGATACTATGCTTCACCCAGAATCTCAACAGGCATGTAACATGCTTCATTTTTCAAGTCCTTGACTAGGGCACCTCGGTGGCTCAGTCAGTTATGTGTTGGCCTCTTGGTTTAGGCTCAAGTAATGATCTCATGGCTTATGACCTCACAGGTCATGGGTTGGAGCCCCATGCCCTACACCAGCTCCGTGCTCAGCAGGGATTGCTTGAAGATACTCTCCCTTTGCACCCCTGTCACTCTCTCTCTCTCTTTCTCTCTAAAATAAATAAATAAATCTTAAAAAAAAAAAAAAAAGCCCTTGACTGACAACAGGCCTGTGATGGAATTAGAGAGTCGGGAAGGACTGACACCATAGTAGCCCTTCTCTCTTTTGTACTTTCTCTTCTTTATTATCTTTCTTACAAGGATTTCACTGGATTTTTTTTAATAGTAGTAATATGTCCCCTTTTCCTGAATCATGGTTTTGGGAATAGTAGGTATGAAACTCCCTCAAATCATATCCCCTCCTTACTTAGTTAAGACAAAAGCTGGTGTTCTCAAAAAGGAACTTCTTCCAGGAAATACAAAGAGAGAACAAAACTAAACCAGGCATTTTGAAATAGATGTTTTAAAGCACAGCCTCTATCTTAATACTGAAATCAGATCCTGGCATGTTCCAGTATACCCACACAAATTCTGCATTGTTGGTGAGAGCCTGAAGGAAATGTTAGGATTTTGGCAGTTGTTGACTATTCAGTTTTGTTACTATGTTTTTTGCCCTCTTAGGAATGTATGTGTCCCCAAAAGAAAACATAACTAAAGAGTCCCAGAATCTGACATTAACAGGCAAGTGGGTAACATGACAATACATTACTCTATGCTGAGGTCTTCAAAGAATCTGGCAAGGAATATGAACACTTTCAGGAAAAACATATTTTTAATCCATATATGTGGTTTTTTTATTTTTTATTTTTTTTCATATATGTGGTTTTTTTTTAAAAAAAAATTCAAACTGGAAATTTGTATCTCTTAGGTTACCTTCCCACCCCCATGTGTTTACTAGTCTCTTTTGACTTAGGTACTTGAAACATTAGACAAAGCGATTGTACAAACTCTGGTTGAGATTCCTTTAACTAAATTCCAATCAAAGTGGCCTGACAGAAACAGCATCCAGGGGGCTTTGTCTGTGGATGCTCTTCTATCCTTGACTCTGGCAATACTGATACTCAAACTTGCCCAAATGCAGAGAGGCTATTATCTTCTTTCTCTCCTCCTCTTCCTCTTTCTTTCCTTCCTATTGCATTTCTAGGTCCCTAAAATCCCCTTAGTCTTGGAAGCACTAAACTTCTCTCTTGTAAATCTAAGGTCCCTCCAACCCCGCCTGTCTTTTATACCAACTTTCATAAACCTTTCTTCTGAGGGTATCTATGACTTAGGAATCTTCAGGAAAGTTAGCCCGCACTCCTGAAGCATTTGTAGGTTTTTTGAGGTGTATCTCAAGCATGCTTTTAACTCAGTATTGAGTTGACTGCTAAAATTCAGCTTTACGTAATGCCCTGGGTAAGTTCTCCCTAGATGCTCTGGGAATTGAATGATAGATGCCATCTTTGCCCTGGAGTCTGGATCAATAACATCAACATGCTCCTTTGGTTAGAATCTTTCACATCTCTGTTTAAGAGTTTATTTCTCCTTTAAAGTTGCTACAAGCAGTATGAGGCATGTCTCCCAGTCCCAATTAATCCAGAACTAAGAGAGGAATAACAGTCTAATGAACAACCAAGCATTTTCTAATTCGGGTTATACTCTGTTGTAACAAAGATCTCTGCTATGTCTCTCAGGGGCTTCTAGAAAAGGAATATGTTGATCCTTGTCTTTCTGCAGAGAAGTGAGAGGGAAAGCCAGGGGCTTTGGTAGGTATACCTCCCGCATGCTTAATCCTCAAGTGAAAATCTTCCTATCTTTCAGTTGTATTGTCCAGCTTAAGACAATCACATACATCACGCATGTCAATGAAGCAATATCAAATGGAAAGCGTAAGGACAGAAATCAGGAGATGTGAAGGGCAAGGTCTGGTTACAAGGTTGTGTCCAGAGGGCATCTCTTAACCTTTGGATCAGGGACTACCCAGTAACCACCCTGAGTTTAATTTCGTATTGTCTTGAGTCTAAATTGCTTGGGGTAATAGTTGTTAGATCCTGAAATAGGTTACTGATGTGATAGTTTCCTTGCCTTTTTTAAATGTCACCATCTTGAATCATACTTATTGACACTTGTCTTCCCGAGGCTTTTGAGTCCATCAAATGTGTGCAGATTTCGTTTTGGTTAATTTCATTGTTTTCTGGCTTTCATTTAAAACTGCCCGTTGGCATTTACCTGCCAGGGTGGAGCTGGAACACATAAAGCCATGTGGGTTGATAAAGGTCATTTAGTCCTACCAATTAGAAAATAAACTACATTGCTTCTGGTTAGGGATTCCACACACATTTTTATTTTATTTGTTTAGTTTTAAGGATTGTATTATTTTACTCATGAGGGACAGAGAGGTAGGCACGTAGGCAGAGGGAGGAGCAGGCTCCCCATGGGAGCCCAATGCGGGACTTGATCCCTGGAACCCCGGCATCATGGCCCAAGCCAAAGGCAGAGTCTCAACCACTGAGCCACTCAGCGTCCCCTCCAACCCCCGCCCCCTACATTTTTAAAAAGGAAATGCCAAAGGAGAGATGATTCCCCCTGCAGAAGTTAATTCGATTCATTAAAGGGCTGAGAATTCCTCAGCCAGAAAATCAGCTTTGTAGTGGGGCATCGGGCTGGGATGGTGCAGATCACCAGGAAGAAAGACCCCAAGAAAGAAGATAAAAGAGGAAAAAAAAAAGTGCCTACATAGGCTTTTATTTTTGCTGTTTCTAAGTTTGCATGCGTGCTCCTCTTCCATATCACTGGAGATTCCTAATGAGAACACTCGTATTGCGTCTTAAAGAAATCCAGTGATGGTTTCAAAGCAACCTAGAGCAGAGATGTCCATAAAGCTCTTTGAAATAAGGGAGTTAGTTGGCTTTCCAGGTGACTGAGATTGTAAGATCTGGATTCGGAACAGGCAGTTTTGGTGGTGGTGGGAAGAGAGGGGCTTGCATCAGCAAAAATGTCACTACTCTGTCCCTTCTCCCGTCCCGGGCGATTCTGAGAGCTCTTCGACCACGATAAGGAAGTGCGTATGCTTTGCATTTCTCTAAGGATCTGAGGGCATCCGTCCAAATGAGCACCTCTAGGGATGCGGGCTTCATGACCCGGGTCATCTGATTGGAGAAGTAAGACTTTACAGAGGGAGCCGAGGGAAGCGAGCGCAGCCTGTGCGGGGGGTTGGGCCGGAGAGGCGCAGCGCTGCGGCGGGCAGGAGCAGGCGGTCCCTCCTCCTCCGCACCCGCAGCCCCAGGTCTGTGGCCGGTTCGCACCTGTGGCTCACGAGTAACGAAACGAGAGATGTCAGCTGCGGAGGGCCCGAGGCAGGGCGCAGGCTCCGAGGTAACCCAGCGGCGCCTCCGGGGCCAGGCCGGGCCCGGGCTCCCCCCCGACCCCCCCAACCCCTCCAACCCCCCCCCCCCCGCCTCCCCAGCAGTGCGGCTCGAGTCCTCCGAAGCTGCCAGTTGCCAAATGAAATCTGAAACCCCGGGCTGCGCCTGAGGCTTGGCCCCGCTCAGTTGTTCCAGCCTCTTGCACTGTGTATTTGCACACGCACACACAATCACTCTTTCTCACTTCTGGGACTCTTTGCGCAACTGCCAGGATTTCTCAAGTGCATGTGGCAACTCAGCCGGGCTCCGGGGGCAGCCGGCGGGGCGCGGAGGGTCTCCCAGGCCCGGGGAGCCGTCGCACGCCGCGGGGCCGGCGGGGGATCGCGGCGCGGCGCGGCGGGTGGCGGGGAAAGCCCCACAGCTGCCCCCCACCCCCCCGGGGCCCCGACGGCCGCGGCGCTGCTGCTGCTGCTGCTGCTGCTCCCGAGCCACAGCTGCGGAGCGCCCGGGGGCACGGGGCGCGACACTTCCCCTTGTTGCGGGAAGTACAGCGGCCGGCCCTCCCCCGTCTTCGCTTTTCCTTTTCCCTCGGCTCGTCCTGGGAGCCTCTGCCCTCGGAGCAGCCGCCGGCCCGCGTCCGTGGAGCGTCCGTGTGCTCGGGGCCGGGTAGGTGACGGCGCGGGGGGCGCGCGGGGCGGCGGCGGGGGGCGCGGGGGCGCGGGGGGCGCGGGGGGCTGCGGCACAGCTGCCGGCGAGGAGCGCCCGGCGTCCCGGGCCGGGCCGGGCCGGGCCGGGCCGGGGGCGGTACTTCGTGCTTCTGGCCCGAAGCATAGATGGATTGATGAGGGTGTGCAGTTCACCCCCTACCACCCATCCTGCCCTCTGCACCCCCCCGCGCCCCTCCTTCTCCGTTGGCGGCCGCTCGCGTCGTAGAGGGTTTTCCTAGATACCAGGCACGCAGGGGTAGGTATTAATACTGAATTCTTTCATCGCAAGCGCAGAATGATGGGGCATCTGGTGAATTTTAAGCCACCCAAAAGATCTTGTTTGGATTTTTTTAAGAAGTAACTTTTGGAAGGCGTTATCCATCCGTGTCCTTAAAAGAAATAGTTTGGACTGTATTTCTTTTCTAAGTCCTCAAATAGAAGGGGAGACACTACTCTAAGAGTGACATTTCTTGCGGATATTAGGTTTCCAATATCCACTAGTACTAGGGAGCCCGGACTCCCTATGTAGTCTGCGTCTGTTTAATTCATTTGAAATAAAAGATAATCTCCAAACTATTTGTGTTTCCGTCATAGTTTTTGTTACTCTTTTTTTTTTTTTTTGACCTTGGCAAGACATCATCACTTCATCTCTTTCTAAAAAGAGGAAATGCATAAATCATATCGGGTATTTGGAATATAAAAGTTGTAAGGGGCTTGCTTATGCGTAAGTAAAACAATGTGTGTTACTGTGTCTACTAAGGAGGACAGATTAATTGAAGTCTGGGGATATTTACAGTACAGTGAAGAGATTTACTCAATTATTGAGAAGAAGATGGACAGACCGATTAAACACAGTCTGTCCCCTGATTCTAATTAGAACTCAAAACCAACCCTTAAGGGCAAGAATGGATGTTGGTATTAAGCTGGGCGTCATAAAACACAGAGAATTAATATATTAGAAAAAAACAGAAGACAAGTATAAAGCCACATCAGACTTGCTAAGATCTCTCTCTCCCTTTTATATTTCTTAATACTTCCTCTTCTCTGGGGGGACATTTCAATTTCTAAGGGAGCCCAACAATTCAATTCCCCTTCTTCTATTTCTTGAGTGCCTGACCTTCAGGTAGCCAGTCAAGGAATCTGTTCTTTAGATCCAGTACTGTGTTGTCAGAGAATTCACTGTAGACATCCTGGAGGACTGAGATATTGGCAAAACTTTAAAATAAATAACATTCCCCTTCCACTCCAAGGAGGTATGTACTTGGTGGAAGACCTTTAAGTAGGAATAAGGGATAAACGATGAGTTTTTTAGATTTGGAATTTAGTTTGAGGTATGTGTAAGGAATACACAACTAGTGTGAGAAAAAGGAAGGAGAACCTGTAATTTTTTTCTGCATCTGAAAAGCTGTTGAAACTCAGTCTGTCTTTGGCTTTCAACTGTATTATTTTGTTTTATTACCTAATCTCAGGGATTTGGAATTGAGAGGTGGATGGTCTCTGAGTAATAATGTTCTTTTGTGCTGTTTCTGCTGGTGAATTTGAACCATTTGAAAACACAACCTGATAGTAAGTGAGGAAAAACTAAGTTCTCAAGGAAAAAAAACCAAACCAAACCCAAACAAACCAAAACAAAAAACAAATAGCACTGTACCCTTCTACAAGAGTGTAGGTTTAAGTGTAAAAGAGAAAAGCATTCTGGGCTTAATCTCCAGTAGGTTGCTTTCTGATTTTGCTTGGTATGGCATTGGCCAAAACCCTGAGAATTTTTACTGGTCAGAGCTTTATTTACTGTGTGCTCCTAAACTCTCTAGGATGGAGGGTGGGGGGTAAGGGAAGGGCAGGAAGGGGTAAGGAATGTGCAACAGGTGGTAATAAGTGGTTTGAGTCTGATTACTTTGCTGTCTTGGCCAAAGCCTAGTTGATGTTTACCAATAGTGCCTTAGTAGTTTTGTTGTGACTTTCTGGCCCATTCAAGTATGTTTTCTTTTTGGCTTATTCATGTCCGGGTTGGCTTCGTAGGGCTAAAAGTAGGCAGAACTGCTGCAAAATCCAGACCAGGCCTTTTGTTTCTGTTTTTAGGGTTTGCAGAGCTGTAGGGTCATCTAGCTACCTGTAGTTATTTTCCCGTGGTATTTTTCAGCTAGTCGTGAAGTTTTCTTTCCTGATGAGTTGAGCTTATGTAATACTGATCCCTTCTTTCTGCCACGTGTCAATTTTTGGTAAAGGTAAGTGCTTTGGAAAAACCATATGGAGAAGGTGGATAGAGCCAGTGGAAGGCACAGCCCCTCAATTATTCACACGTGGGTATGGAGGAGGTTGACTATAACAAGAAACTGAGGCATGTATTCTATAATGGTCACATGTTCCTGAGAAGAAAAGCATACGGGATTCAAAATCCGAAGGTGCTTGTTTTACTCTTAAAACAGTGGCCAGAGGATTAACATTTCTCCCAGCTGGAGAAGAGCATTAAAAAATAAAATTGTAAATAGTCAACTTTGCCATGAAGTTAATGCTCTTCATGTGAAGAGTTCAAGGCTCAGATTGAGTCTTGAAATGGTGACCCGCCTGTCTTTGCTACTTGAGCTCAAATTTTATAAGATTATGATGGCCTTAGTGGCTAAGGCAAAGCACATTTGAAAGTGGGGGGATTGTTCTGATGACATTCAAGGAATGTTCAGTTTTCAGAAGTTATTGTGTACATGTGAGCTTTTAAGCAGCATCTACACTGGACAATTTATAAAAAGGACAGATCTAATTGTGTCAATCCCTTGTTCTAAAACCTTTGATGATGGATCCCAGGGTCCCAAAAACTCACAACATTAACTCTAAACTCTGTAGTATAGTGACTAGAAGCTTTTCAAAGCCCTTACTTTTTAGTTTCTTCTTCCTGCACAAGGACTCCTCATTGTTCACACTTCAGAATTTTTGCTCATGGATTTCCATTCTCCAGGAATTCCCTTTGCCTGGAAAGTCCCACTTGATTCTTGGTGGCCCATTTCAACTGGAGCTTTGGGAGAATTTACCCAATTCTATGCAGGAAAGATAAACCATTTCATCTAGTCTGTTTCCATGGTGTTTTGAACATACTTTGAATAATTATTTTTTAATAATTTTTATTATTAAATGTTACTACCAACCAACTACAATGAGTTCCTTAACAGTTATCTTGGGGGTGGAGGAGCTTCTGTATCCTAGTGCCCAGCCCAGTGTCTGAAACGTATAATAGATACGTGTAATTGTTTCCTTAATAAATGGGCAAGTAAAGTTATAAATGAATAAAGTACCAGTGGACTGCAATTCACTTCATTTTCCAAAAGTGACAATGCTACAAAATATAATTCGCTTCCTAGATCAACCCACACATGCCTGTTTAATTCCTATGATAGATAAAATCTGTGCTTTTGAAATTATGAAGCAAAAGCAAAGCAAAAAAACTACTGTGGAATCATCTTTTTCTTTTGAAAAACCACAAAATATACTTGAGTTTAAAGATAATGGAAACAGTTTTAATAGATATGCATTTTTCACAATTGTTTTTTATATTATACTATAAAGTCTTTAATCTATCAAATCCCAGTGGGAGGTCCCGGCTTTGGCTGTGAGGAGTAATAATGGAATTAAATTTGGAGACTCTGCTGCCTGTGGATGGGCAATAATTTTAATTAATCAAACAAAATAGAAATACTAATTTTGCCTATTTAATAATTATCTTGAGTGCTAGTGCTTGGAGGAAGTTGGATTTAATTAAAGGAGAATGTGGAGATGGATGGAGAGGAGGAAATTCAGAGGGGCATCTGTTTTCATGTTACTGATTTTTTATTATATTAATTTTTAAAAAGATTTTATGTATTTATTTGAGAGAGAGAGAGAGAGAGAGAGAGAGAGAGAGAGATAGTGACAGAAATAATGAGCGAGGGGGAAAGGGATAAGCAGGCTCCTCACTTAGCGGGAGCTAATGTGGGGCTTGATCCCAGGACCCTGGGATCATGACCTGAGCTGAAGGCAGATGCCTAACTAACTGAGCCACCCAGGTGCCCCTATTGATTTTCTTTTCATCTCATTTGAGCACTTAGGCAAATCCAGAGTTTCTTCCTGAAAAACTTTGTCTTACTCTACAGTTATTTCTGCTGCCTGTCATGTAGAAGGTTATTCTTCATTGAACCAATATACAAATGGACTTGTGTCATGTTCAGAGCAGTGATACCTCTGTCACTTGCCTACCTGTACTGTTTAGCTCATGGTTTGTCAATTAAGAATGCATAATGCTTGTGTTTTAGTCACCAGTCAGGGACCTTAAGCTCAAATTGTTCCTTATATAGTATCTTTGAGAAGAGTAGAAGAGCAAGCATTGATATTTAAGAGTAATAGTCTACTCAGTTTCCTAAATCTTCCATGCTCTCTATTTTTATCAAATTATATGACCAGAAGCTTACCTATCCCACTCACATTACAACACCTGTTTGTTACATTGTCTTCCTCATGCTAGGCTATAATGTAGTGCTCTAGATTTTACCGAGTCAACATAAAAGAGGTGGCATGCAAAATACCTTGGCACTTTTTGTTATGTATTTCAATATTCTTTGCATAAAGATCTCTGTAAATTCATTTTTGCTTTTACTACTTTAAAAACTGTGTCTCTTATGATTAACTAGTGTTGTTCCTTTTGTTAAAAGAAAAGAGACTAAGAAATAACCATGTTTCTCATTTGGATTTGTCACACAAGAAACTCAAAACTAAATTTGATGCTTACTTGTAGCCTTGTCTAGGTCTTCTTGTAACAGTTGGCATTCTTTTATTCACCTATCATACCTATACCTTTTAACTAAGTTAACTCAAATCCATTATGGAAATACATTGAATTGCCTTCATTTTGTATATGTTTCACCCTTTTTAGATGTGTAGTTAAGTATTTATAAGTCTCTATTTTGTAACTTCAGTTTAGTATTCTAGAGCCAATAA